TTGCACTAATAGTTTTTCCTTGTAGCGCAGGCTAACAGGGATGGAGCTGGGCATTTGCTTCCCTGGATCGGAGGCCATGTCGGGACTTGCAGACAGCCAGCCTTCTGGGATTAATTTGCCTATAGGTAATCAGAGACAATGGTCCTTTTCCAGCAGTCTTAACCAGAGCAGCTATTATGGATTCTGTATTTGGTTCACTCCAGGGCTCTGGTTTCTTCCCCTCTCAACCCTCCAGTCTCCCTCAGTTACCCACCGAGGTCTTTATTATCTTTCCGCATAGGGAATTTTAGCGGGGGGGGGAAATCACCCCATAGAAATTAACTGACAATCAGCATATTTGTATGGCGCAGGACAACATATGTGCATTGCTATTTCAGTTTTAATAGCATGGCCTTTCTTAAAGAACATACCTTAAGACATCTGAGAGCTGTCTGAGAGGCTGAAAGTTTTTTGTCCTGTAGAGCGTGGTAGGGGATTGGAGATGGGTCCTTAGGGTGGATAGACTGGTGGCCCAAATGGCTATTCTGCTTCTAACTTCTATGAATTTCGGCTCAGTCAGCCACCTTGCTTCCTGCCAAGTACCCAGAAAGAGCCGCATGTTTCCCTGCGTTGTCTGCAGAGCAATATGGGAGGATATGTACTGTGAGGTCTGCAGCTGTCCCGTGTTTCCAAATGTTGATAAGCATCCCCTTGCTTTGAGTCCCCTCACAGAAGACAGGTCTGCTCTGCAAGGCAGTCGCGTATTTGGGGGTGGGGAGGTGTTCTTGCCCCTGTCACCCACAGAAAAACCCCTAGTCCCATTTTACATTGCGAGTCCATACGATATGCTCTGTTTCTGGGTCTGTGTCCATTTAAGCCGACGCTCAGTCGCTCTGCAGAGCCAGTTTGCTGTGTGGTTATAGTGTGGCCATGAGAGAGAGGGCTCAGATAGCTGGTCCTCCCGTGGCATCCCTACATTGTCCTGCTCCAGTTGTTCTGCACATCTCCCGCTCTGCTTTCTATTTCCAGAAGCTGGGTGGCACTTTATAGGGCCCTGTGCTGCCAAGCTGAAGAGGCCTTCCTAACATGCAGCGACCGTGCTGGGGTGACTATGTGGAGGGCATGCTCCCAGAGCTATACTCCCGGTTGCAATAGCAGGATCATTCACCCGTAGGACACAATTTCGAGCCAGCTTGCTCAGCTGGGTACCTGCAGGGCCCGGTCACAGCGCCAAGGCAGAGCCGGGCACCTCAAGCAGTTGTACCAAAGACAAAGGATGCAAACTGGGGGCAAGATTTTGTCACTGCTTTATGCCCTTATTATGCAGAGCCAGAGAAAAGACTCTGAGCACCAAAACTCCTGCTTCCTGTGACTCTTTTCTTCTACAGGCCGATCTTGTTTACTGGAGGGGAGATTGGGATGAGCCTGTTGTAAAGAGCAATTAGGATGTGGCTATGTTTCTGGCACCATGGTTCATGGAAACCCATAGCATCCTTCAAAGCCAGCTGTTTCACCAGATGTCCTGGGAGACTATCCAGAGAAGGAAAATCCATGAATGCTCCTGCGGAGACTGAAGCAGAGAAGCCAGGGCCTCAGCTCAGTAAGTGACTGATCCTCACCCTGTTGATCCTTCTTTTGAGGGGAAGTTTGGGTATACAAACGGAGGAATTTCCGGATGGGTGGCCAATGAAGTCACAATTCAGGAGGGCTGGGAGTTTCCCAGGACATGAGACACTTCAGTTTAAGGCAGAAAGCACTTCAGTGGCTTGTTCATTTAGCAGCTGGACCTCCATTATTCCAGCCTCATGTGTCCCTAGATGGCAACCATGGAAGTTTAAAAATATAGAAATCAAGTGCTAAGTGTCTCCTAATGATACCTTAACACACTCCTATTCTCTCTCTCTCTCTCACTCTGAGTCACACTCGCTCATTGGAAAACTCATGGTTGGTGGACTTGAGGACAAGCTAGGGACACTCGTGCCGTCAGTGGTGCCAGATCAGTTGGCAAACCCCGTTCTCTGAACACCTGCTCTTATTCCAGGCACGTTCCTGATGTCTGCGTCCCCTGGTACCACACACAAGTTAACAGTAACGTGGCTATGGGTCATCAGGGCTTGGCATGACATGAGACAAAGCAATATGCCCACCTTGAGGGCCCAGGCTACATGCCTAAATTACCAGAAAGATGGACAGAGATAATACAGCTCCGATCCTGAGAGAGCTGGAAGTCAAAGCAGTACCGCAGTAGTGACTGTTCACTTCTCCTAGCAGGTGGACTCTCAAAAGTCCCTCTATGGACTGTCAAGCTGTGCCCATGATAATGTAAAGAAAAGAGCAATCCTGCAAACTCCATTAATGTAGTATCTGCCCGAAGAATGAGGGTATTGACCTACCATGTCAAATCTAGTCCCGGTGTACGTGAAAGTCAAATTTAGCCTTGCCCCACACTGGATGTCAAGCAGCAACAAGTGCACGATCAGCACATTGGAGCAGCGGTCCCTTACCCTTTGACATCATTTTTTCTCAAGATTATTTCTGTCTTTGGACTGCATCCCAGAGGTCTCGCTTAGATTCTTCCATTTGGCCACTTGCTCGAGGCCTGCGCGACGGTAGCGTGGACAGGACGAGGGCTTCCCGAAGGCAGAGCGCGCTCGGTCTCTGCTCCAGCATCATGGACATTCCTCAAATACAGGCATACCTCGGAGATATTGCGGGTTCGGTTCCAGACCACTGCAATAAAGCGAGTCACACGAATTTTTTGGTTTCCCAGTGCATATAAAAGTTATGTTTACGTTATACTGTAGTCTATTAAGTGTGCGATAGCATTATGTCTAAAAAAACAATGTACATACCTTAATTAAAAAAATACTTCATTGCTAAAAAATGTTAACCATCATCTGAGCCTTCAGCGAGTCGTAATCCTTTTGCTGGTGGAGGGTCTTGCCTCAATTTGTAAAAAAGGCAATATCTGCGAAGCGCAATAAAGCGAAGCGCAATAAAATGAGGTATGCCTGTATTTGAATTGCTGACAATAAATTCATGAGATATTTCCAAGGCCGTCTGTTAGGTGAATGAGGTAAACACCACTCACTCTGCCTCTCCACCACTTCTTACCAGGCAAGGCTCTCCCTGACTTCTAGGATTGCGGAAAACTTGACAAAGAGCTCAAGAAGTGGGTCCTCACCGTAGTGAATCCTGTGCTTAGGCTGAACTCCTGTAGACACATGCCTTCCTCTCTAATATCATTTGACCTAAAGATGAAGCCCAGCTTCCTTTAGGCACCTGTTACTTACAACAGGTGGCACGGTTTCAATCTTCGCCTGTTGGAAAAATAAAAAAGAATTGATGCATTGGGGTTAGATTTATTTAAGAGGTGAGTGGAGTTTGTGTTGGGTGATAGGACCCTGAACTTGAACAGTGTCTTTAGTAAAAGCAAGACACAATAACAGCCATACACATGCACTCTGGACTTGCATGATGTACACCAAAAGCACTTGCTTTCCTGCAAATCTAGCTGGTCGCTCTGTTCCTAAAGGTTTGGGCTTTGTTGTGTTTCTAGGCCTCTCTAGCGATGATAGTGGAACTCAGATGGACGTAAGGGATGGAAGGAGGCTTCTACCCATTGAGCTGCAGCTCTGAAGGTCGGGTCTCTTATACCACAGTGGAAGATCCTGCTGTGATCTGCACAGAAACGATAGCTGGGGGCTCTAGCCATCCTGTTTCTTATCTGTGCTGTATTTATCTCCCCTCGATATACTCCCAGGCTTCTGTTGAAGCTTAAAGGACAGTTTTGTTGGTTTTTTTGCCAAGGGAGATCTTTGCAGCAAGCAGCTGGTGGCAGTGGAAAGTCAACTGAGCTCACAGATTCCTTAGATGTGCAAGTTAGTAGGTGTTACCCTGATGCACCACCTCCTCCTACCTGTCTCCTGAAGTAAGAACCACAAGGAAATGCTACAAATTCCCAGTCTCTGAAGATGGAATAATGCCCGAGGGGGATAAATTTGGTCCTGTTTTATTTGCTAATCTGCTCAGAAGATTAAAAAGGGAAATACAGTGCTGAGGAAGGTGGGAAAAATCCCGAAAGTTGATCCAGAGCCATTTCCTCCCTACTCCAGCATAAAAATGATCAGCTCTCTCCGTGAGGCAGCACACGGAGCAGCAAGTGGATATGCTTCATAGCATTAAGGTAAGGCATTGCTATATCTGCATGTCTGTCACCTCCTCGTCTGCTTTGCCTATTTACATGCTTATAGGGATATTTGCACCCTTTGCATCTGCCTAGCTATGTGTACCTATTTATGAGATGTTGTTCATAAATAAGATAAACTTCAATGACACCTAAAACCCCAGGTAAGCTATGACAATTATTTTTATACGCTAATCTGCTACTTATGGATGCTTCCAATTTTTGCGAGGGGAAACATTTGCGATGAAATTTTCCACTGTTGGTCTCAAGGTGCCTATCACCTTCAGAGCAGAACTACATGATGCATAAACATGCATCTGCTATATCATTGACATATAGATTATAAATATTCAGATGCCTGCTGTATGCTTTATGCACATGCACATGTTACATATGTGTACCTGTCCTGTGCACTACTCTGCTTCCTGCCCTGCCCAAGTCTATTTCTCACGTACAGAAATCTGCATCCTCTGAGCTGTGGAAGGTCGGAAGTTGCATATGTGCAAATCTCAACGAGGTTGAATGATTTGGCTAATTAGTTTAGAGTGAGGGGAGGCAGAGAGTTTAAAAATTCAAGTTAGATTTAAGATTTCAAAAGTTGTCCATGAATGCACAGAGCCTTCTGACCACGTGTGTGTTTTATGTATGGTGACGGGGACCTGGATAGACATCGTGGCCGCATTCTGTTTACTGGGAGGTTTGCCATTGATTTCAGGGAGAAACCTGTTTTTGCAGACCTTGAATGGCAGAATGTTTCTGTTTGGGGTAATAGCATTTTTCAATGCCTCAGATAGAGGCTAATGAAGAGGGATTTTTTTCCATCTTGTACAGCTCTCCAGCACTCTCAGCAGTATGAAGGTCTCTTGCCTCTGCCTTAGCTTCCTCTTGGCTGTCTGTGGGTTGCATTGGACACCGACCACCGCCAACGAAATCTTCCACTTTGGGTCATGCGAGGTTTTGATGAATGTCAATGAAATCAGGACTGGCTTCGCAGCAATTAAAGCAAACATTGTAAGTATGCCAATGCGCTTCACTGATGTAGACAAGATGGTGCCATGTCTCCTTTAGACTGGGGGCTTGGTGGCTTGGGACATCGTGACAGTGGGCTTCCACGGTGACCAAGGGCCAGAATATTCCTTGTCCCCATATGCTGGGCTGTCACTCGCCTGTGAGTGCACAGGGAATGTAAAATGTTACCATGCAGGTGTGCTAGCGGGATTGGACCCTCAAAGTTTCCCCAGCTGATGGCTCTTCCGTGATCCATATTTGATATTTGGTCTGAGTCCAGTTCCTCCTGGCGTTGGAAAACAACATATCCCAGATAACAGCCAAACAGCTTGTTGGGCTGTCTCAGCAAAGGGGCGAGGAATGAAGGGCCCATGGAGAATGAATTCCTCTTTTCTCTCCTAAAAATCTATTCCGGGGACAAGATAGGGTGATAGGCCAAGCAGGAGACAGCTTGCATTAAGGCACAATACTCTGCAGGCAGAAGGTTTGCTTTCCAGAGGTCGTTAAGAGCAATTTTAAAGAGAAAAGCTCTGTTTATGCTGGCCGCCTAAATATCCTTGTAGTCAAGGTCCACTTGACTGAATTTTGCCTTTTTCTGTTTAGCAAGCCAGAGACACCATCAGAACCACCAGCATTTTGTCATTCCCATATTCGCTGCATAGAGTCAATGTAAGTATCATGATTGCATCTTCAAATCACTTGCTTTTTTTTTAAAACTGAATATACAATCATAGAAAATGCAGGTTGAAGGGAACTCGGGGGGTCGCATCTAGACCAACCCCCTCCTCAAAGCAGGACCAGCCCCTAATACAGCATTGCAGCCAGTGCTTTTTCAATCCGGGCCTAATAACCTCTCTCGGTGACTCACGCCAGTGCTTCACCACCCTCCTAGTGAGAGAGTTTTTCCTAATATCCAACCAAAACCTCCCTTGCTGCAACTTGAGAGCATTGCTCCTTGTTCTGTCATCTGTCATGACTGAGAATATGTCCCATACAGCTAGTTTTGAATGGGTACTTTTCAAGGCATCAATTATTACTGCTTGGAAACTTTTCAAGATGATGAGTTTTCTGTCAAAAAGACCATAAATCTTATCCCATCTCCTACCATATTTGACACCAAAGCTGGCTGCATGGTGGTAGTGGATTGAATGACTGCCGACTACATATTTTATGGCAGTTTGTAAAGAGCATAAACTATTTCTCTTAAGTCGGGAGATACATGCTGCATCATTCACCACCTGCTGAAATTCTATGTGGACATGGTCTTCAAACACTGCGAGACGGAGGATTCGTGGGTCAACCGGAAAATCAGCAGCATAGCCAACTCTTTCCTCAGCATCAAGAAGAGCTTCAGGCATTGTGTATGTTGGATTTTACTAAGTCTTTGTATAGCAAATCCTGTAGCTTTGGGGATACGATGAAAGCCGTCTTACCTAAATTAAAAAACACAAAACAAAATGAAACAAAAAAAATAGCCCGGCCATTTTTTTTTTTTTTTTTTTTTTTTAAGTTC